CCCTTGCCCCTCTTTAGCCTCTCTTCCCTTGGCCCGTCTGTGCCCTATGTCCTCCCCCAGCCCCCTATCTCCCGCCGCACTAGTCTCGCCTCCCTCCCAAGCCTTTCTCTTTTCCTCCCACCCCCGGTCTGATTCCCCTTCCCGCCTTTGGCCTGACTCCTCTCCCAAAACGCTCCCCTAACGTCCTCTCGGTTCTAACCTCTGCCGCCCAGACCCCTTTTCCCCGCGCCGCCCAAGCTCGTGTTTCCCTTCAGCTTTCCGTTTCCCTGTAAAACTGGCTTTGCTCGGCCTTAGGCTGAATGTACGCAGTCAGTTTCCTGTAGCCCCTTCCCTGGGCTGGGCTTCCAGGTGTTAGGCCCCGGAACTGCCCCTCTGCGGTCACCGAGCCTGCATGTTCGAGGAGTGCGGCGCTTGCGGCGTGGAGCGCAGAGAGGCAGGTGTGAGGCTTTTACAGTGTGTGGGGCGGGGGAGGGAAGCGAGGGGGGACACACGCTGTTTGTTCCTGGGGCTTTAGATTGTGCTGGAATGTTAGGAATGCGCCAGGGGAAGCGCGCACACAACCCGCTGCAACAGATCGCTCCTTGCCCGGCTCTCCTCCAATAGCCAAAGGTCACCAGAGCAATCTACCCGGAGCTAGCGAACCTCTCTGTGTCTCCATGCTGCAGAGGGGGCAGGAGCGGTCTCTGCTTGCCTTCGGCATGGCATTGCACAGGTTCAGGTTAGATTCTCGCTGCATTTCTCCGCGATGAGATCAGTTCGAAGGTTGCTTGTTCCTCACCGCACCCGAGTTCAGGAAGGCTGGATATTCATTTCCTCCCAGCTACCACGGGCCTTTGATTTCTGTGCCAAATTTTGCTGAAACATTTGTGCAATTAGTGTTATTGTTTGGTTTATGTCCTTAAGCCGAGCTGCAGAAGCTTGATGGTGATAGCAGTGGGGGCGGGCGGGTAGGAGGAGAGGAAAAATGTTCGTCGTGTGTGGTGATGCCGCAACACGTTTTGCTATATGTTTTTGTTAATACTTGTGAACGACGATCTAATCTGCAAAATGTTTCTGTGCATGGATCCTTCTTCTTTAACATGAACTACAGCTTGTTATCTTACTGAGCTGCATTTATATCCTCATAATGCGTAATGAAAAGGAACAGAGAGGCAGTGTTTTGCCAGAGATGGGACAGATAGGAACTGTCTGGTACTGTTAAATTACAGGGCGTGTCAATTACCATCTGAAACAACACAGAAACGCAGCAGGAGGCAGCAGTCGCCACCACGTCTTTCCCCAGATTTACATTGTTAGCACCAGGGCAATTTTCATTGAGCTGTTCAAACTGTCATAGCCATTTAAGTTGATATTTGTGAGAAGTGATTTGAGAGAGAAAAAAGGGATTTAGAAAACAGTTGTCCAGTTGTAGATAAAATAATAGAACACTAGTAGTGTTTCTCTGAGCACAGTTTAGTGGTGGTTGTTTCCTGTCTAACTTTTGCTTTCTCTGTCAGGCTGAAGAAAATAATTAGGCAGTGTTTAGCTAAAGAAACTGTAGTAGCCACTAAGCAAGTCCAAGCACTATCATGCAAACTACTGCCTTGACAAACATTGTTTGGGACAGGTTTGTTAATAGGGCCATATGATCAGGCTATCAAGCGGTACTGTTATCTGTTTGTCAGTATTTTTAAGCTAAGAAAAAAGCATTGTACATATTCCTCTTTGGGACTATTATATTGAACTGCCTTGTGTCCACACGCTGCTAGGTGATGTGCAGTCACTGATGATATATGCTGAATACAATTTAAAAATTAGGTATGTTTTTGACATAACTAAATTTCAGATTGCACACCAGTACCCAAATCTTGAAGAAAGCTATCTAAGCCCTGAAATCCTCTACTGCCCTTGATAGCAAGCACAGCTACAGGAAAGCTGTTAACTAGGCAGCCTCTTTGCTTGATCAATAAGCAACAGAAATAGAAGATAAGTGACAAATATATTTAAAATAAGGGTTGCTGAGTGACAGTAATGCAGCTGTTTCATAGAAGATGGATTGAGTTTACTAACTTGTCAGTGCATGAACATTTTGCTACTATCACACAAAAAATAAGTATTAGATGAAGTGGGTCTTTGCCCACGAAAGCTTAATCCGTTAGTCTTTGAGGTGCCACAGGGCTCCTTGTCGCTTTTACAAAAAACAAGGAAATTGGGAGACATGATTTAGTAGCTGATATGTCCATTCAGTCTGGGGATGCTGGGAGGTACAGAATTGGAAGAGTGACATGGATTTTGAAATGCTTGGACTCTGGGGTGTTTTTGCAAAATCAAGATTGGATGCCTTTTGGGAAGATACACTTCAGATAAACACAAGTTATTGGGTCAATACAGAGGTAACTAGTGAAATTTGAAGGCTTGTGATATACAGGAGGTCAAAGTAGATGAATGTTTAAGTTGGAAATCCTAAATTGTGCACAGGAACATTGAATATATTCTCGTAGAACACTGATTTTTAAGAAGCCAACTCTGGTTTGATATGCAGATTTGTACAATATCTTTAGTTGAAACAGATAAGTATGTAGCTTAGGATAGATTAATCCTTGTATAGTATTTTCTACATATCAATTTTACATAATAGCCCAAATGCACACGTGAATATAAAATTATCTGTTTAAAGCAGGGGTGGGGAACCTCAGGCCCTGGGGACAAGATGCAGCCCTCGGCTTGTCTGGATCCAGCCCCCGAGGCTCAGGGTCCCGCCCCCCAGCATTGGGGAACCCGCACTGGTGCTCCAGCCCTCCTGCTGTGCCCCAGGGTCTGTAGCGCACAATCTACTAGTCTGGGCACCCCTAGGCTCTGGTGTGAGAGGGGAATGTGAGGTGTGTGTTTCTCCTCAGTTGGGGGCTACAGTAAAGGTCCCCCCTCACTTCTCACTTGTGTGCATCCCCCTCCCTGACTGATTTTTTTTTTTTTTTTTTTTTTTTGGTGGGTCAGTGACCCCCAACCCAAAAAAGGTTCCCCACCCCTTGTTTAAAAGGTGGCTTCAAAGTAGTAATATTTTGTAGCTAGCTTTTGATTCTGCTCATGGCTGTCAGTCATTTTATCAATCATTGGGCAAGATTTGGGAAGGGCGGGGAGAATGAAGCTTTCTTGACTAATGAAATGGGTAGACTGTACTTTTTTTTTTTTTTTTTTTTCTTCATTTTGATTGGCTAGCTGTTTTTGCTTGGTTCGTTGGCTGGCTCCCTCTTTGCTTGGCTACTCAAGAGAGGGGCACCAAAGATGTTTTCTGCCTTGGCCAGCAAACTTTCTCAGCTGGGGCTGAATACAGATGTTAAAGACTCTGCATGTGCAGATCTCATAAGACTTGCAAGGACAGAGCTTCAAAAGCATTCCTTAAGCTGCCTGTTCTTTACGTTAAAGCTGCAGGTGCTGTGACAGTTCTTGCCTCCTCACCAGGGTTTAGAACTGAATCAGCTCGTAGAGCCGCTCATAGCGACTGTACTCCTGTATAAATCTTTTCAAACTTATTTCTGTTCCTTGCATCTTCTGCCTTTTTATATGTACACCAAGTATTGCATGTCCTTTGCCAGTAGGAAGCCTTCCTCTTGTCTCCCTGTCAAAGTTCTATACTCCCCTAAGAGGAGATAAATGGGAATTGAAAGTGCTCAGCACCTCTTGGGAGGTGCTCAGGATATGGCCCACAAAAGACTTTTTAAAAACTTCTCCTCACTTCATCCTCAGTATGTGTTACACTTGCCCCTACTTTGCCAAGATCATTTGTACTCTCCTGGTTCATTAGCTGCTACCCCCTCCTGTCCGTGGACAAAAAAAGGGCCTTACTGTTCAAAAGAACACATGCAGCAATCATTAATGCTTACCCTAATTGTGCCAATTCGAACCACTCAATAGCTCTAATTAAAACCTCTCTTGTGCAGGGCATTGAACAGTAACAAAACTGTCACCTCGAACAATCAAATCCTTGGAATTAAAAATATATTTTTTTAAGTGCTGTGTGCAAATTTTGTTGCTGCTGTCAAAAGGGGTCATCAGAAGAGGATTAAATGAGAGCTATTGTGAGCTGCAAAGGAGGCTATCTAAAAACAATCCATATCTTTTAGTCACAGTCTGAATTCCCACCACCCACTTTCCTACCAGCCCCCATGCAGCAAATAACACCTGCAAGCAGAGTAGACCGGCTCTTGGTTACCAGACACATGGACACCACAAGTCAATTTAAATATCTACAAATGGGGAGGGGATAAAAGGGGGGGAAACCCTTTCTTATCCCTACTGCCTTGTTTCTCAGGGTCCCTGACTTTGCTTTCCTGTGCACCATAAATAACTCTGAAATTGCATTAATTGGTTGCATATTTGTTGACACTGGTGTGGGCGGGGAAGTGGGCTGGTTGGGAGGATTTTTGTGTTTAGTGCTATTTTATACTGCTTTCCTCAGATGTCCCTTAATCCCTGAAGTCCCCTCCACCTTCATTTTGGATTCACATGTCTTTTAGAATAGCTTCTTTTTTTTTTATAAGTGTGTGTGGTGGAGAGGGAAACAGCATTAACATTCCTTTGATGGCACCCATGTGCACACATCTGTTCTGTTAAGTTTCCCCAGCAATGTCTATCAATCAAAAGAAAAAGGGTTATATGTACCTCAGTGGGATCTTCAGAAAGTTCTGCAGGCAATTATCTACTGAAT